GAGTCCTAACCACTGGACCGCTGGGGAAGTCCCTTTATTTGGTTAAAACCCTGTATTGCAGTAGGTCACAGGCTTCATCTGTGTTTTAGAGGCAAAGGAATGAGGTTGAGTAAAGCTGAAGTGAATTGTGCCAGGTAATTGGCAAAGCCAGGAATTTTCTATGAGCTACTCTGTGATCTCATCAGAGGTGGGAGCTCAGACAGTGGGACACCCCTCTGTCCTCTGGCCTTGGAGTCAGGCTGCAGCTTCTGTATCACCTGGGCAATGGCCCTGCCCACAGGGGACCACAGGGGGTCTGCTTATCTTGTCCCCTGAACTTAGAAAATCACCTCCGCCGCTGCCACTGAGATTGTGTCAGGACAGAGCATCACTCCCTGCCTCTCCCGCTCCCGGCCTCTCAGTGGGGACCTGGGGGTGGGCTCTGCGGAGCCCCTGGGTGACGCTTCAGGGGCCCAGGATCCAGCGGCTCCCTCACGCCTCCCCCATTCTTCTCCGCCTCACAGGAGTTCCCTTCTCAGACCTGCTCCTGGCCACCTGTGTTCCCCACGCAGGTGGTCCCTGAGGCGGACTCCTGTGGAATCGCCGTCACCCTCCTTTCTACTCTGGGGCCTTCAGAGAGACCAGCCTGATGCCAGGACAAAGGACAGAGACCCTAAAGCACAGAAACCCCAGACCTGTTGTTCTGTTCCATCTGCCCTGGCAGGGCCGGCCGGGGCAGACACCATGGGCCCCAGGCCCGGGAGTGATGCCAGGCTGGGAGGGGGCAAAAGACCCCGGCAGTCCAGCAGAGGGCTCCCCGGCTCCCCCTAGAGGCCCCACGACCACACAGGACACCTGGCCAGGGACTGCGGAAGACGGCAAGCAGCCCCCACCCCCGGCATCGGGAACGAGCTGCTCCGAGGAGATGCAGCCCCTCCAGCCGGCTTTCCTCTGGCTCCTGCTTGCGGCGCATAAGGCTGTCTGTGCTCCCGGCAGGCGGCCAGCCCTGTGTGCGTGGAGCCAGGCTGCCAGCAGGCTGCCCTCCCCATACCTCAACGTCATGGAGGGAGCAGAGCACCCTCCCCGGCTCTTGTCCCAGCGCAAGGAAGGAGGTGGGCCCTCCACCCAGCACAGGGTATAGACCACCAGGCACCTCCCCAATGGCCACTGGGCTCCGGGCCCCTCGCCTGGGCTGGGACTGGGGAGGCAGGAGCCCCCAACCCAGAGCCATGAGAACCACAGGCCTCAGGGGCTCGAGGGAGCAGGTGGGCCAGGAAGAGAGAGGAGGGGCCCGGGCGGTCCCAGGGCTCCTCCCTGCCCCTGGCTGGGGGACTCTGGATTAGCAGAGGGATTTACGGAGGGGGGCAGAGATGATCTGGACCCTGAGGGCAGGATACCTGAGCACACACTGCTTTGGAAATCATGCGATTTACACACCAAGTGGGAAGTAAAACCTCCCTTCTCCCTAAACTGAGGGCCCGAAGAGCAAGCCGGCCGCATGTCCAGCCGCCCCTCCGCCCCAGAGAAAGAACCGCACGTGGCCCTCAGCCAGGAGAGGTGCCTGTCTCCCGGGCTTCCCGACGGGGGCCGGCCCTCCGCCGGTCTCCATTCACACTCCTGAGCGTTGGAAGCACAATTTTTCTCCCCTGTGGAGGCAGAGGAAGGGCCTGAGCCCGCTGAACAGGTGTTTACTTTTAACCGCTAATAGCCCTGACTCCGCTTAGACTCACGGGATGGGTCTGCGGGCCATGGAGAGCCCACTCCTGGGTGCATGGGTGGGTGGGCAGTGGGCCGCAGCCCAGCGATCTAACATTCATGGAGTATCGGCTGCCTGTTTTTGAAGTGGATTTAACTCCTCACCATAGTCACGAAATCTTCGAGGGAGAGCCCAAGTCCCTGAGGGCCCTGAGCCACCTGCAGGACGTCCCACACCCACGGTTGCCTGGGAACCACCTGGGAACCAAGTGGGTGGCGGGGAAGGGAGGGTGGGCGAGGGCGGGCACCGTCCAGCAAGTGAACTCATGCAGGGCACTACTCTGCCTCACTCTCTGGGACCAGCCCCAAACGCAGGGTCAGCTTGGCTGGGCTTGGGCCACCTTGGCCCGAAACCCAGGGCTCGTTTTCAGGAAATTTGATAACGAACGACAACATGGGTTCCTCTTTTTTTTTTTTTTTTTTTTTTGGCAGATGCTAGTTCTATTGTTTTCACTTAATATCCTCTCTTAGCTGCATGTGTATTTATTTATAATTATAACCCTGATGGACTGCAGCTTTCACCTTCATTGGGAATGAGTTTGCTATGAATCAGAATTGGGTCCGTGGCTAGTTTGTTTTCCAAACGCAGTCTGTTCCCTGCTCCCCCCGCCCCACATACAGGAGCGAGGTGGGGGCCGGAGTCCGGAGGACAGAGACGGGGAGGGTGGGGCCCCCAAGCTGCATTATCGGGTTTGTTTTAATTTAACTGTATTTAATTTGTTTTGAAATTAAAAGTCAAATATGGTTTTTAACAGTCTTAATCCTCCTCAGCCCTGCCTTAGTTTTCCTCATTCATTTAACCGTCCAACCTGTACTATCAGGTGCCTTGGGGGGGACAAGCCTTGTTCCCGGCACAGCACAGGGCCGTGGAAGCCAGACCTCTGCCTGCCCGGGGTTGCCTTCCCCGGAGAGGACACAGATGCCCAGGGCCAGGGTGCTCTGACAGCCGTCATCAGTTCCAGGGTGACGGATGAGGCAAGCAGGGCGGAGTGCAGCTGGGGAGGTGCTGGCACCCCACCTGGGCCGTCAGAAAGGCCTCCCTGGCCAGGTGGCCTCCGAGCCAACGACGTGCTGAGAACTGGGTCCAGGAAAGAGAAGCTCCCCCCGCAGGAGAGTGCTTAGCTAACAGGCCACTGAGGGCAGCTGACTGGGGGCGGGGGGGTGGGTCACACATGGGAGCAGGGGGCACAGACACTGTGCTCTGGAACCAGGGCGAAGCTTGCAGCTAGGGAGTGAAAGAGAGGCTGTCGGAGGGTTTGCAGCAGAGGACGGACCCAGTCTAACCGGCCTTTTAGAAAAGGCGCTCGCTTCCTGTGTTGCCAACAAACAGGACTCGGGCAGGCGGCCCGAGACAACGGTGAGTCGGACGAGGCGCAGCCCTGACGAGAGGGCAGTGGGCGGGCTCTGGACACGGGTCAGGGGCTTGCTGGTGGGCTGGACGTGAGGTGCAAGTACAGCCACGAGTAACCAAGACAGAAGAGAACTGTGTCCACTGCTCCGGGCGGACTGCAGGGGACAACGTGACAGTAAGTTTGGGGTCATGTGCTTGTTACACTCACAGGAGAGGTGAGTGGATGGTGGTGCCTGGAGCCCCGACGGGGATGAACGTGGGAGAGAACGAGTGTGGAGACTGCTGCCAAGGCCCATGGGCGAGGCCTCCACGCTGAGTGAAGGCAGAGGCGGCCTGGGAGCAGCCTGAGACGCCCAGCACTGAAGAGGCCGGAGTGACGAGGAGGGCATTCCCTGCCAAGGTGCTTGGACAGGAAGCTGGGGTCACTGGGCAGATAGGTTGGCCCAGGGACCTCACCCAGGAAGGGCCGCGCGTCTGCGAACAGGTGGGTGTGGAAAAGCAACGCCAGGGGACTCTTCATGACACAGACGGCGTCACCCTGAGTCTTCCAAACCCGAGCTCCGTGCACACTCGCCAGTGGAAGCCCCCCATGCGCTTCGTGGGACGCGGCATAAGCCAGGCAGGGTGGCTCGGCGGCCAGGCTGGCCCCGTCCACAGAGCCCGCTCTCACCGCCCAGCCCCGGGCTCCCCGTTCAAGGCGGCACAGGAAGAACTGGTGAGTTTGGATGAGATCAGGGACTGGGACCCCCAGCCATGGTCCACCAGCTTCGCTTCAATAAGCCCCACTTCGCTGCCCCCAGCGGGACCCTTGGGCCCAGCCCCGTGACCATCCGCCCTTGACCCGGCTCCACTCTTCGGCCCAGGGGCTGCACACCACTGCCCCCGTGCAGACCGCTCCTAAGCCAAGCATGGGCTCCCAGCCGTGGGGAGGAGGGCGCTGCTGGAAGGCTCTCAGCCTGCTGTTCCCCACCCGGTCCCCCCTCCCGGAGGAATCCGCTCGTCCACGTGGACTATGAATGGAGATCGTCCGTTTGTGGCAGGATCCAGACGTCGCTGGGGAGGCATACTCAGCACTGCGGCCAGCGCACGTGCCGCTACTGGCCACCCAGCACGGCCCCACCCTGCCCACCACACCGCAACGGCACGGCGACGGCCGGGCTAGCCATGTGCCCGGCACAAGCGGGGTCAGAGAAACACCACCAAGGAGGATGAGATGCAACTCTGTGGCTTTACCGCATTTCAAGGCAGCAAACCTGAGCCCTGACACGGGACTCATCCCATGGGGGCTTGCCCGGGGTCTGGACAGACAACTGGAAGGAAGGCTGCCCCTCCCCCGCCGCCTGGCTCAGGGCGGGGACCCCGGGACCCCAACACTCCTGCCCAGGCCCCTGCGGCCGCACCTTGTGCCCGCAGCCTCCTGGACCCTCCGGAGCAGCTGCCTCTCCTCCTGGGCTGGCACTGCCCCTCACGGAATGAGAGGGAAACACGTTGTCTTGGGAGGTAAGGCCCAGCGTTCCTGACCGTCAGAGGCGATCTGAGCGGGGTGGAAGGGGGCCGGGGTCCCTCCACCGGACCGACTTCCTCCCTAGATGGCAGAGAAGGCTAGCCCAGGTGCCCCCACCCTCCACAAATGGTGACGCGCCCCCCAGCTCAGAAACGGGGCCCACGGGGACACTCAGAGCAGACTGTCCAGGAGCTGTGCCCCACTCACCCCCACAGGGGACAGTCCCAGCCAGACCCCCCATCCCGCCCGCGGGAGCAGCGAAGGCGGACGGCTGCTGCCGGGAAGCTCTTCGGGGCGGGGCCCTCCCTTGCCCCCAACTCGCTTCTCCGGTTGTGCAAGGGAGGGTCTGGACTGCAGCCGTGGGCAGGAAGGAGGGCCTGCTGCTGCCCCGCCAGGAGGCCTGGGGGCTACTCAGTTCAGGTACTTGTGCCGGCCCAGGTAGGGCATTTCCGTGAACTGTATCACCGGACCCGCCATCGTCTCCTCGAAGACAATGACCTGGGGGACACGGCCAGTCTGTCTCAGAGCCAGATCGGGCCCGTCAGAACTTCTGTCCTCTCCTGCCCGCCAAGGGCCCCCGGAGAAACACCGTGATACAGGGAGGGCAGGGATGAGAAGGGGTCCCAGGAAAAGTGCTCCCACCTGGTTGAGGCCTTGGTCCAACCAGGCACCTGGGAGGTAGAGGGTCTCCTGGGGCCCGATGTTCCAGTAGCGTCCAAGGTTTTGGCCGTTGATGAACACAACCCCCTTCTCCCAGCCCCTGAGCTCTCCTCTCAGCTTCCCAGGGGCCAGACTCGTGCCAACAGCCGCTCGGTACCGGGAGGGGAGCTCCAGATCCAGTTCCCTCTAGCGCTGAGCCCCGGCAGGGCACCCGGACCACCGGAGCCCGGACCTGAGAAACCCACTAGGTGGTCCCTCTGCTCTGACCCCACCCCCACCCAGGGAGGCCACGACGGAGACCCTCCGGGCACACGTGGTAGGGGGGCTCCAGGAGGCCAAGCACCAGGCTGGGGGCCCAAGGAGCGGAGCCCAGAGCACCTGGAAGGCGGGGCTACAAACCTCCAGCTTCACAAAGGTGTCACAGGGGAAGGAGACCAACAGCGGCCCCAAGAAGAAAGCAGGGAACACGGGCACGTCAGGGACAGGGTTCCACTTCTCTGCATGGAACCTATGGGCAGGACAGAAGATGAGGGGTGGGGGGCACCTTCTCAGATCCTCCCCGCCCTGTGAACTGGCACAGCAGTGGCATCCGGGGGGGAGGGGCAGGGGAGCGCTAGGGCTCCGGTTCTCAGGCTGTGGCGGAGGGGTGCGGGGCGGGCACCAAGCCTGGGGCAGCCTCGGGCCTCCTGGCTCTGCTGCGGGCCGTCCAGCTGCTCCCACGCTGCGCAGGGCAGGACCCAGCTCTGCAAGAAGCTCTTCATGTCCAGGCTGTAGATTTTGAACTTTTTCAGGGGAGAATCATTCAGCTATTTCCGATTAAACCTGTGGGGACGAGGCAGAGACACTGAGCGAGGCCGACGGTGGGGGGACAGCTGACCCGCCGGCTGGGCACATACACAGGACGTTGCTGGGAAGTTCAACAAAGGACTCCTGC